TCTTAGTAATCTGTACTGTTTGCATGCTATGCCTTCGTTACTCAGAAAAACTTTGTAAACAGTACTTGACTGGTTTGAGTACCATTTTAGCCCCTCCCCACACATTGCCATTGGCGGGGCAAATGGTTTATGAGACAGGGCAATTCTTAATAGACTTTTCACTAATTTCTTCCACTTCTGCAGTCATCATTCTTCTTATTCATCTTGAAATAGTCAATCTTGAATATTATTGTCAAAACACCTACAAATTGGGGAGAGCATCAAAATTCTTTAGTTGACTTGTTGATTTCCCTTTTCTCACCATTATTGTGTTTAATGTTCCCTTTGGTTGAGCACTTGGAACTTAATTTATATTTTTGTAATTCTCTTCCAATTGATTAACAGAGTAACTGGAAGTGACTGACACTGGAAGTCTTAAAATGTCCGCGCCCACTTTTAGGCTAAATATATGGTGGATAGAGGTAATTCAAAGCAAGGTTTCTTTCACCATTGCTCAGTAAGCTAGCTTGGATGGGGAAATGGAAAAATTGGAGTGGATGGTTCACAGCAACCCGGTCTCATCCCAAGACGTCATATAACTGACGTTTTGGGACGTCTTTTGACCATACGTCAATATTCACCTTTTTAGGGCCCCCTTAAACGTTGGTAGATGAGGTTATGGGATCCTACCCCAGACCTAAACCTAACCCTAAACCTAACCCGTCACCTAACTGACGTTAAAGGTAAAGCGTCAGTTGTATGACGGCCCGGGATCGCCATCTACCGACGTTTAAGGGGGCCCTAAAAAGGCGGATATTAACGTATGGTCAAAAGACGTCAGTTATATGACTTTTTGGGATGAGACTGTGTTATTCACAGAATGCTTTGGTCTTTCCATGAGGGCAGGTTTCCATGTAAAAGAGAAAGAGTGGCACTGGCTGCCTTGTGGTTTGAGGAAGGCAGACGGTGAGTGAGAGAAGACATGGAGACTGGAGGACAGAAGGATGGAGGTCACAGAGGGGTTACTGTTTCTCTGGCCAACCGGTGAGCATGAGTATTTCTCACCCTCAACTGAACCTCCCCTCTGACACTGCTGTTTGTGTTTCCAGAATTCACTTTAGGTGTTTAATGAACCATTATGAGGACATGTATACACATACTCAAGGGGTCAAATGTATTACATGGTGTTTGAGCTCCCCAAGTCCGCTCTTAAAGGAATGTTTCAGGTTCAACACAAGTCAATTGTATCATATTGTATGTTGAGTACCAGCAAAAAGGATCCTTAGTTTTTTGTTTTGTTTTGTTTTGTTTTTTGTAGATGATAACTGTTGTCAATGCTCTTACAACATAAGTAAACCGGGCCAGTGCTCCAGGAGATTTAAAAAGCTGAAATGTGAACACTTATATAAATTATTCAGTCAAAAGCTGTTTATAATTTGAGCTGTACATTTGCCTAAAATTGACATTTTTGAAGTGGGGACACTATTCTAGCTGGATTCTGGTTATGAGTTACCGACTTCCGTTGGTAAAGTTAACAGCCTATTTCTGATTTCCTATTTCTGGTGAGTGTATAATACAAATTATCAGCATTATTTGGTCATGATATTAGGCAGTTATCAATTCACTCAGACTCATGCTAACATGTATGTGTTTAATTGTTGAAACTGCGTTTTATTATTTATTATTAAGTTTATTGCCTGACCCCATCCACTTTGATTGTTAGTGTTTTACCATAAATCATTTTCCTTTAATAAAAAATATGAAGGACTTGTCAAATATTTTTCTGTGGTTAACAATTCAATTGTTTGGGTTCAATAGCTTATTAGCTCAGTAGGTCATTGGTCAACCCTGTCTGGATTTAAACTCAATTCTAGACCATTAACTAGGCTTCCCATCAGCCAACATTAATTCCAAACTATTGTATTGTCTCCTAAAACGACAAGATGTTTCCATTTAAGCCACTTCTGATACATTTGCGTTTTTATTGCACATGATCATAAAATTCTACGCAATGCTGTAATAATGGACACACTGCATTACAAATCAAAAAGAGCCATTTTAAATGCCAAGAATTTTTCAGCTTTTGTTTCACACAGTCCACCTATCCTCACTCTCATAACCCTCCCGGCACTGCGGTGATGTAGAATGGTGTGGCAGCTGCCACCCCCAGCCCCCCTTTAGCTGATTGAGAACAACTCATGCGTTCACGGTTTCACAGCATCCCAGTCATAGCTTATGGGCCTCTCGCCATCTGGGGCCGTGCAAGAGCCACACCACGGCAGCCATGATTTAACGCTCAGGATAAACAGATATTTCATAATTCACACAGTGAAATGGGTGAAGGAGACAGATTTCAGCCAGGTGACGGTCCTTTGGGACAGCGGAAATGGGACAGTCAGGCATGCATACGTCTATTTTCTTTTCTATTTTCTTTTTATATATTTATTTATTTATTTATTTTGCCTACAGAAAGTGATTAAAATATTAAAAGCAATATTCAAATATTCTATTATTTTTACCATTCTTTTTGGTGCCTCAATACATAGAAATTATGCACTTTAAATCTGATAATTGCAAACTATTTTGCAGGATAATCTGTTATGCTAACATGTTGCACTCATCTTCCAGGAGGATAAAGCTAAATTGCATGCTGTTAAATGTAAGGATGGTGTTCAGTGCCTTCAATTGCCGTACATATCAGCAGATCTAAACATCATTAATGCTTTAAGTGAAAATCTTAAGTGCAGAGTGTATTTTTACTAACATTGTACACAGTTTAGGTTTACTATATTGAGAAGAGCTGGATTAACCATATGGCCATTTGGGCCTCACTAAATCAAAGGCTGTATACTAGAAAGGTTTTCAAAAAGTGGGAGATGCAACGCAATGGCCAAAGACTGAACTAAATAGTTCTGAAGACAAAATGTACCCCATCTCCTTAATAAGCCCTTGATATCAATCTATATTGTTTTTCGAGGGAACATCAATGCTGCGTCATTGCTTTGATGCTATGGAATGTGCTTACAAAGAGGAAGCTCTGATGATCTTTGATGATGAAGAAGAGTTTGTCTCTGCACCTTCATTAAAGTTAGATTTTCATATAGTGTACAAATACAATCAGAAAATGACTTTTGAGTCTTAAATGAGTCTTGAGAATGAGTCTTACTTTTAAATAAATCTATTGTTTTATAATTCTAACAAACTCCTTTTTTTGTTTGATATTTTGCTGCGCATAATGCATAATGTAAATTTGCAGTCCATGTCCTTTGTAAAGGACATGGACCGCAATGGACCGGTATGTTTAGAAATCAGCTTAATCTGTGCCATCTTGTTATCTCATTGATTATTTTGTCCCACCTGCCTGCCTCTTTACCCTCTTATGTTTGTCTCCTTATTTAGTCTACCTGTGTTTGCAGTCCTCATATCACCACATATCATTGAGAATGAAACCTGGTCTGGAAACCAAATGTAAATTTTCTCGTATTTGAGGCGTGGTTTACGAATGCCCAGAGCCGTATTATTGGGTGCTACGAATGTCTATCAAATGCACCTGTGTGTCTATAAAATGTGCCTGTGCTCCCTCTTCGTACTGTGATTGGTTCCCTATTTCAGGGGAAAATTTGGTTCATGGTATCCAGACTGCCTAGCAGTGCGAATAAAATCGCGCTGCGGCAAGGCAGAATGGAGAAACCCAGGCTAGTGTTTCCTGATCCTGCCTGTTATTGTTCTTGTTTTCCCCCCACGAGGGAGTTTTATTTGCAGTTTGTGTTTGTTTGTTACTTAATAAATATACCCATTTGTTTCTGCACTTGAGTCCTTGCATCTTGATTCCTTGACAGAACTAGGACAGTCCTGTGATATGGTAGAATGAAGGTAAATTATGGACTTTGGTGAACCTACAGATAAGAGTTTGAAACATAATGAGTGTGAATATATTGTTCATTCAGGGATTTTATAGAATTAGTTTGTTCTTCATAGATCTTTTACCACATTTTTTTTCAAAGGTGCATTATGCAACAAATCAAGGTAAAAATAGCCTTTTTTCTAACTCATGCATGCTTAAACAAATTGTCTCATGGGCTGAATGAACCCTTTTCTGATCACTGCGATTGCCTCTATAATCCTGTACAGTAAAATAAATAAGAGGGATTCTGGCTCGAATTTGAGACTGGGCGTGACATCATGCGTCAGCAAAGACAACTCGAGCGACTTTAGTCAACTTTCCACAAAAGAAGAAGATGGATTCAAAGAGATCGGCTTGTAGTTCATTCCAAACCCCAACGCAAATTCCACATAAGACAAAGAAAATAAAACTTCTGTCTAGTGCCAGGCGTCGGAATAAGAGGAGTCAACATCTTTAAGCTTACGACAAATGGAGAGATCTCCGGTCTGCTCTGGGGCTGAAACGGGTCCTATACAAAGTAATAACTTATATTGTTCATGAACGTGTTTCCATAATAATACAATCATAAGTGGATACAGTAAGCACATAAAACAGTTCAACATGGAGATAGATGGAAACAAAAACCTCAAATGTAATTTACTCAAATGCCTTTCCTTTCATATATTTTAAATGACTTGCTGATTTACAACTTTATTACCTCATTATGACTATAACAAAAGATGTGTGCGTCTGATGCTCATTTGGTTATGATGACCAGCTCGTGCAAACATGCGTGTGTGTGTGTGTGTGATCCATGAGACACCTCTGGTTGCAGTTTTGCTTGTCGCCAGAGGGGGCGTAGTTCTGCAAAAACTCAGAGACTTGCGCATTGCACCTTTCAAGGAAAGTCTTACAGTTTTTAATTTGAATTTGATACTGAAACTAGCACAGTGACCTTTATTGTCCTCCATGTACAGTCTTCTCAATCAAACTTAAATCAATGGATGCAGTAGTGAAGAGATTGATCCAACTGCAAATCACCACTTAAAACACTGGGAAGGGGAATATGCCTGGTGTGATACAAATCAGCTTCATGAAAGAAAGATCACATAAATGAGAAGCAGATGCAGAAACTCACCACGTCTATGATCTGAAGCAGTGTGAGTCCCAGCTCCACCACTATGGGTGAAGAATCATTGAGCACAGGCCTTTCCAGTCTGTTATAGTTGTCCAGCAATTCTTTATACAACTTTCGCTGATATTCCCCTTGTAACGAGTCTATAGAAAGAAAGAAAAACAGATTAGAATTCTGTCATATTTTCCAAATCTCTTTGTAGGGCCGTCCCAAGCGTGTGGTGGGGCTCAGTGCACATTAAAAACAAACTAGAATTTTCCAATTTGATTTCAAGGAGTAGTTCACTTTAAAAAACAAACAAAAAACTTTTGCTGATAATTTACTCACCCCCATGTCGTCCATGTCTTTCTTTCTTCAGAAAAGAAATTAAGGTCATCACAGAACAGAGGATGGCGAGCATTTGTGCTTATAAAACTTAAACTTTTTTATTTATTTTTTAAATAAAAAAATTTTAAATAAAAAAAAAATGCTTGATAAGACTTATTCATTGCTTATTCATCGTCTGGTGTCATTTAAAGCCCTTTGAAGCTGCACTGAAACTGTCATTTGGACCTTGAACCATTTGGTTCCCATTGAAGTCCATTATATGGAGAAAATCCTGGAATGTTTTCATCAAAAACCTTCATTTCTTTTTGACTGAAGAAAGAAAGAGATGGACATCTTGGATGACATGGGGGTGAGTAAATTATCAGCATACATTTTTTTTTTTTTAAAGTGAACAACTCCTTTCATAGTGACTTTAATGATATGTGGGTTAATGATAGTTCATGAGTAGCAAGGTTGTTTTTGTGAATGAAACATTTTCAGTTGGATCTAAAAAAAACAACTAAAAAACAAACAAACATTTGATCCAGTTCACAAGCCTGGTCTAAATCATTTGTTCACAAAATCCCTCTGTAGTGGTTTATCTGCATAACAGACGGCAATAGTATCATTGAAAAATAAAATAAGCTTTGGAATGGTTTTCACAGCAAGCTATCATGTGACAGCAAAAAAACAACAACATGTTTTTCCATAGGCACACTATGTTTTGTGACATAATGGTCTGAAACAAGTGTAAGTAATGAGAGAATTTTGTGAACAATCTCATCAGGAGTGAATGCACGAGAGATGGTTTGCAGTCAAATGTTTAATTGATCTTTAAATTTGATTTGCACAGGCTCTTGTAGGCAATTTAGTAACAGAGACGAATTCCCTCAGGGGCATTACTGTTGTCCTGTAGATAAAAAAAAATAAAATAAAAAAACACATGGGAGAAGACTGAGTTATATCAGCAGTATAAAATAACCACACTACTTCACAAAGATGGACTAAAGCCCCCTGATGTGTACAAATGGGATTTGCTCAAATGTGAAAACATGATGAGATGGAGAGATGAAACGGAAAATTTCAAGAAACTAATGAATAACATAATATTAGCAGTCCAAGATAATTCAATGTGAATAATTGAATTTTCTTGGAACATCTGTGACGATGTCTATGTTTAGATTCAGTATGGTTATGCTGTTATATAAGCAGAATTTCCTTCATAAATCAAAGGAACCTATTCACATTGTAAGCGAGAGGCATCATTCACACTCTCCTGACTCACAATGCGTGTGAGGAAATTAAAAGGAGCGTATGTTCTGTGGATCTGTGCATGAGATTGTAGTTGTTTCAGACAGAGAGACAATATGCAACTCACATAAATCTGTTTAGCATGAATCAACTTTTGTATCAATGCACTAAGAGTTAAACATGCCAACCAACAAGAATGGTTTGTCTTTAATCTGGTCAACCTAAAATATCACTGTTGTTAATAAAAATGTATTAATTTTCTTTAATAATTCAAATAGAAACAAATGTACCTTATTTTGTCCAAAAACAACAACTAAATGGGCAGAGAAGTTTAACACAAGAAGTAGCCTGGTATAGATATCTCCTACTTTAGGACACAATTTAATTTTATTAAGAGAGCACATGATCTTAATTACTTCTATACCATATACCATTTAACAGTCTTGTGTTCTTTTGTTCTGGTATTTCTGACAGCTGATACTTGCGGGGGGCAGTTGTGGCCTAATGATTAGAGAGACCCTCGTCGTCTTTCAGCCACATGAGTAAAAAATACATTTTTTTAGGCCTAAATCTGCCTTTTCTCAATCTAGAATGCCTCAATTTCAAAAATAATTTCACATTTCTAGTCTACTTTATAAATGACCGAAATTAAATACACATTCATCTTCCCAGAAGTGAAGTATCCCTTTAAAGCTTCAATATGTATTTTTTTCACCGCTGGGCATTGCTAACCTCTTACAATAACAAAGGCGTAGATTGATGACGCAGAGATAAGTGGCATCATGGAACCTATCGTCATACCGAAGGATCTAATAATGTTTATGGATGACAGAATACATTGATGTTTTTATCATGACTGTGGTATGAAGCAGGGCGCGATTGCTAAGAGACAGACATCAGCACCACATGCGAGTTCCGCAGAAATAAATGAATTAGGACAAATTCATTCTACCGAACTTCCTGCAAGTGCTGAATTACTACTCACACAGGTCAGTTTATTTGACAAATTAAACTTCTGAGGTAACGCAGCACTGTTTCGCTTGGTCTACACTATCACACTAAACTGTATTTGAGTGTGTTGAAAGTTATAATGTTATTCTATGTGAAGAGTTCAGATGCAAAAGCCTCTAAATGCCATTTGAAATTTTCTTCTTTAATGATGATTTTTATCAAACTTGTATATTTAAGTTCAGTAATTTCACTTAAATAACAATTAATAGGTAATTATCATTGCCATTTAAGTGAAATCACTGAACTTAAATATACAAGCTTGATAAAAAAATCATCATTAAAGAAGAAAATTTCAAATGGCATTTAGAGGCTTTTGCATCTGAACTCTTCATGTGTTAGTTTGTCTGTATGAGACTAGCAGTAAGCTAGATCAACATTAGAATAAAATACTAATAATATTCTAACTTTTCATCATGCTGAGCTATATAACGTTGATTCGTTTTATGTACATTTGCAAGAGTGGCGTCTCTGTCAAGATGAAGTTTGTCACGGTCTGGAGCTCTCAACAACACGCTGATATTGATCCTCATTTAGTTTTCCTTTTGTCCCAAACTCTGCTTGCCATATCCATAATGTTTTAAAGAAACAACAACAGTGTGAATTTTGGATATTTTATTACAAAAATCTTACATATTGTAGCATGAATGGGCATTTGTTAAAGAATGGGACTTCAATCTCTTTCTTTTTTATCTGAATGACCCTGGCCTGTACAGTGATAGCCGCTGGATACACGACATGTCAAGCAACAGGATACAGACTGGGCTTGTAAATGATCGAGCAAAACCATAATTAAAAGTTGCTTTGAAAGTTTCTAAAGGATTGTTTTGGCAATAATGTCACGCACGCATACACACACACACACCATACACAGCATAGAGCACTGACAATAAAGAAAGCAACAGAGGATTTAACACTATGACACTAAAGGATTACAGACCATGACGAGAATGACTGACACTCTTAACAAGGTCCCTACAGGGAGGAAATTATATATTCTCATTTGTTCTCTCACATAATCAGAGTAATCTGCCATTTTTGTACTTGTTATTTCTGCAATTTACTATGATGTCATCCAACTCTTAGACTGACAAATATCACTGGAATCTTTCTCTACCAATTCAACTGGTACTTACTATAGGGTTAGGAATACGCTGATTTCATGTAGCCGCCATTTTGAAATGAAATCTTCCAGTGGGAAGAATGTGACTGAGATATCACATGAATAGGATTTGAAATGAACAATCAGATGGACCACTGGTTATCACCAGCATAATGTATGCCGGTTAGAAATGCTGTCCAACTTGATGTAATGTGTGCCAAAACACTCTTTTAGAGACATGACTAAAAGCAAATAAAAACATACTGGCTCAGAAATCATTGGCTTAGAACAACGTGATGTTTAGTTGGTCTAAAATAATATCTTGTTAACTCTATGTTTGTTTGTGTAATATACCTGTACGTTTTAATCTGTGTGAATAATATGTGAACAGTAATTTCTAGAATGTATGATTTAAATTATATTTCTGAAACAGTACTTTAATAAACACTAAAATGGAGAAGCAAAGACAGAATGTGAAGCTTAATAGATACGCTGTACTTGTTCAGCTACTGTACATCCACTTAATTGGCCAGAAAGTAAATGAAAGCAATATTTGCCTTAACATGTAGATTGCTGATCCACATGAGAAGTGAGATTTGTCTGATTTGACTCCTTTTCTTTCACTCCTCCCCTGACTGCAGCCGTCTTCTCTCATTTACACTGAATCCAAGGGATTTGGCATCTCAAATGAGTCTAATGTTAACACACTGTAGACTTGCTTGTGACAAGTATAGGTATTCCAGATTACTCTATTCATCCTAATGGAATAAGTGTTTGGGCCTCAGGCACATATCAGCCTGAGGGCAGACGCAGTATCTGGTGAATGTGATTCAAATGCATATTTAAGGCATGGAGGAGACCGTCTAATGATGGAAACCAAGAAAGAGATACTGTGGCTGTTGTGTTCCAGACCAACAATATTCTGGTCACATCTATAGCACATAAGTCTTTAAATCACGTTCATTAAATTTCATTACTTATTTAAATCTTTTTTCCCACTGGTCAGCACAATCCCATTTCAATCTATGTGCCGTCATTGATTAACCCTCTATTGCCTTGGGGAAACCTAGTTCCAATAATCAAGTAGTTTTTAGTATTTTGACATCAACACAATTACATTTTTTAACATTGCTTCCATAATGTGTGCATTAGATGCTTGTAATTTTATTAGAACATTATGAAACTTAGATAAAATAAACATTAAGTAAACAAAGTAGACAAAAGACCATGAATTACAAACACAAATCACAAAGGAGGTGGGTAAATAAATAAACTGAGAAACAGATGCTGTGAAACACAATGTGGGGCAGAGTGATATTTCACATTTAAACAGACTGGAGCAAGTATATGCCACTTCAGCCAGCCTGGGAAACAAGTGCTCACTGAACTTTTCCTCACACCTCACTTGAGTGCTAGCACTAATGCTTAACCCCATAACAACAGTCCAGGGGGAGATGGGTGATTATGAGATCAGAA